TTGAACCTGGGAGGCAGAGGTTGCAGTAAGCTGAGATTGTGCCATCGCACTCCAACCTGGGTAACAAGAGTGAAACTCCGTCTCAAAAAGGAAAAGAAAAAGCGTTGCTTTTCAGCTTTCTCCACTGCTGACTTGGGACTGAGCATTTTTTAAGTCAAAGTTAGTTGCCATCCTCCTTCTGCATTTCAGCTTCCTAAATTCTGTTTCTATCATCTAGTCTCTTATTCTTATTGTCATAATGGCTCCATGCCTTTTATTTATTTATTTATTTATTTACTTACTTACTTACTTATTTTTCAGGTGGAATCTTGCTCAGTCGCCCAGGCTGTATGTAGTGCAGTGGCACAATCTTAGCTCACTTCAACCTTCGCCTCCCAGGTTCAAGCAATCCTCCTGATTGAGCCTCCCAAGTAGCTGGGATTATAGGCTTGTGCCACCATGTCCAGCTACTTTTTGTATTTTTAGTAGCAACGGGGTTTCACCATGTTGGCCAGGCTGGTCTCAAACTCCTGACCTCAAGTGATCTGCCTGCCTTGGCCTAACCAGGTCAGGAAATGCTTCCTTAGGATAAGGGACCTGAGCTGAAAATTTACAGTTAAGGACTCAGCCACGATGGGTGAGGTGGCTCATACTTGTAATCCCAGCACTTTGGGAGGCAGAGGCAGAAGATCACTTGAGGTCAGGGGTTCAAACCCAGCCTGTCCAACATGGCAAAACCCCGTCTCTACTAAAAATACAAAAATTAGCTGGGTGTGGTGGCATTTGCCCATAGTTCCAGCTACCCAGGAGGCTGAGACAGGAGAATTGCTTGAGCCCAGAAGGCAGAGGTTGCAGTGAGCTGAGATTATGCCATTGCACTCCAGTCTGGGCGATAGGAGTAAACGCCTGTGTCAAAAAAAAAAAAAAAAAAAAAAAAAGAAAGTTACTTCATTAAACTTTCATTTCTTTATTAAAATATGAGGATACTATCTAAAAGTTTGTCATGAGACATCAAAGGAACATATTAACATGC